ATTTATTCACAACAAATAGAAAGCATAACATCAGACAATGTGTCTTCTTATTGATATTTTTACAAACACATAATATTTATTAAAACTAATAGAAATACATTTTATATTTTGAATATGCTATCTTTTTCATGAAGGTTGTATGAAAATATCTTAAAAATTATATAAATAAATGCAAAGTCTAAAAAAATATAATAACTGTTATGAAAAAAAATAACTTCTGAAATTGAGATAAAATCAAAATGAAAAAGAATTTTCAGAGATGAAGCCATCATCATCATCATCATCATCATCATCATCATCATCATCATCATCATCATCATCATCATCATCATCATCATCATCATCATCATCATCATCATCATCATTATCATCATCATCATCATCATCATCATCATCATCATCATCATCTTCATCATCATCATCACCAAATAATAAATAATTGTATACTCTTTATGATATTTGCCAGCAAATTTTTATATATAAGTTTTTTAACAGCCATACAATTAAACAGCTTTGCAAGCCACAATGCTTGCAGTTCCAATTTTGCAAGTCATTACATTTGTGGCACATATTTAAAATTTTTAAATACTTGCTTGGGTATTTTATATATCGTAATTTTACTTAGGTAACCTTAACCCAAACATTAAGGTTAATAATAATCTGATACCTTGTATAAGATTATTATAATTTGATACAAGGCATATCTGATACCTTGGATCAGATGTTTATAAACTTTGAAATACAAACTATAAAATGCTCCTGTTTTTGAACATAAAACATATACATGGATTTTAATGAATTTAAATGAAAGAAACTCGGTTTTTTAAGATACACACGAAAAATTATTAACAAAAAACATTTAAATTTGTAAAAATAGAAAATTCTGTTAACACTTCAGTTCATTACAAATAAAATGTAACATACTCAAACATTCTGATTAAAAATACTAATTATAATTCCTAAAACACTTTTTTGTAGCTGTTTAAACTTTTTATTCACATGAGTACTAGTCTTTACATTCCTATAAGTTTTTTAATTGCAATATCTATATGGTATTGAAATTTTCAAGATAAAACTATGTGTATATGGTATTGAAATTTTCAAGATAAAACTATGTGTATATGGTATTGAAATTTTCAAGATAAAACTATGTGTATATGGTATTGAAATTTTCAAGATAAAACTATGTGTATATGGTATTGAAATTTTCAAGATAAAACTATGTGTATATGGTATTGAAATTTTCAAGATAAAACTATGTGTATATGGTATTGAAATTTTCAAGATAAAACTATGTGTATATGGTATTGAAATTTTCAAGATAAAACTATGTGTATATGGTATTGAAATTTTCAAGATAAAACTATGTGTATATGGTATTGAAATTTTCAAGATAAAACTATGTGTATATGGTATTGAAATTTTCAAGATAAAACTATGTGTATATGGTATTGAAATTTTCAAGATAAAACTATGTGTATATGGTATTGAAATTTTCAAGATAAAACTATGTGTATAAAAGAGGTAACAGTGGTTTGTCGAGGATCTTTTTGTAGACTTATTTATCATAAATACCGCGCCTTATAAATTTCACGGACCTTTTTGCTCAAGCCAAGTCTCTTTTATATAAAATGAAACCTGTCAATATATGAGCCAAAAGTATTTAATATTTATATGAGCCAAAATTTTTTAATATTATTTTTTTAATGTATAAATGTTAAATTCACCTATTATACATATATATATATATATATATATATATATATATATATATATATATATATATATATATATATATATATATATATATATATATATATATATATATATATATATATATATATATATATATATATATATATATTCATTTCATAACTTGTACTTACAAAGAGATAGAAATAAGTATATTTTATGAAATTATAATTTTATTCGACAATCACTTTCAAAACAAAAGTATTTTTTATTTCATTTTAATGGAGTTTAATTTTGAGCGTTGTAAACAAAGTCTTCGAAAACTAGTTTTTTAACTAAAATAATACTAATATAATTTAAATTTTTAAACCCCATTTTGTTTCTTTCTTTCTTTTTTTTTTTTTTAATAATATTATTTTTTTATTAATGAACAGGTATTTAACTGGTTATGTTTTTGTTGTTATGTTATTAAATGTTTTATTTGTTATTATCTGTTTAATTAATATTTAACTGTCAATTCTTGCACGTCTATGAACTGCATCATATTTAATACATATCTAACACATTTAATATTTAACAATAGATTTAATTATGCAATTAATACAATAAACCGTTTAACTTATAATTTAAATTGTACACAACAATATTTTCCAACATAATCGAGCTGTAAAGTAAAAATTACGTTACGATTTTTTTATAAAAAAGACGTGTTAATTAACACGAGTGTTTAGAACATAGATGTCTGACTACAAAATCACTGCTTTAAGATAAACGATGAAATAAATTTAAATTTTCCATGCATATGAACCTTATAAAAAAGAAATATTCTATAAAAGTTTTAATTTTTATTTAAAAAACATATTTCAGTTTTTTTCAAGAAAAATGTCAAGACAGTAAAAATAAGTAATACATATGATAATAGCATTATCTAACTCAAAACATGTATTTTTATAGTTAAGCCTCTGTGATCCTTGAAAAGTTAACATTAAATGGTAACTTTACACTAAGTTTTCGTTTTTTATTAAACTTAACGAATCATTATACATTTAAATTTTGGTGCCAAACTTTATCGATAACATAGAATATTATTTTTTTTTTAAATTTAAAAGATTCCATCTGATGGTACGACGTGACAAAACATAATTCTTTTTTTTTTTTTTTTTTAAAAAAAAGTTACAAAAAATATTTCCGCAACGATAAAAAATTTTCCGCTACGCTAAAAATTTTCCGCATCGATATGGTTCTGCCTAACAGCTAAAAATTAAAAACAAAAATTTTTTCATTCTTCAATTGTGTTTTAAATTAGTTTTGATTATCATTTGGGTGTTGCTAGTTCCAGAATATTTCCACTTCCTATTTTATTCACTATCCATTCTTTACAAACATTCATTCTAAAATAACAATTCCATTGGCATGGAAACAGCAGCTTATTGACATGGAAACAGCAGCTAATTGACATGGAAACAGCAGCTCATTTTTAATTAAGCTTTAATCAAAATTCATTTTGTAACTTTATGACATTTAGGGGAGTTTTTTTTTCAGCACCTTTTTTTAGGAGATTTATTTGAATAATATTTTCTCAATGTTATTAAAACAAAATATTATTTAACAAAAAAACAATCTAAAAGCTAAGATCATAATTAAAATTTCACTATATATAGCCAAATTATAATTGTTGCAAATAATTGTATTAATGCTAGACAATTAATTAATTTGAGAGTGTATTGTGCTGTTATCATATTTTTATTTATACTTTATTTATTATTAACATGTTAAATTTATATATATGCACAATCAACATATACCAATACATTATAAATTAATCATCTTTTATAGTATAGAAATAAGAAACACATTTACAAAGTTACTATCAAAACAGCATAGAAAGCTGAAACTGTGTAAAACCTTACACCAATCTGTGAATGATATTACACAGAAACGTTTATTTTACTCAGAAGGGTGTAAAAATGATCAATTTTTACTCTTCTTTTAAAGTTAGAAATAATAAACTATTACTTTTCTCATAAAATAGGTCGTTAATGTCAAGATATTTATTTTTTATTTGACTAATGATTTTATATTGTCAATTAACTTTGATTCAAACTTTTTTTATATTTATGGTTTGGGTTGCCTATCTTAAGCTATAACCAAAATTAAAAACATTTAATCCTACAAATATTTAAGTACATAATAGAACAGTTATTCTAAGAAATTCTTAAAAATTACAGTTTTCGTAGCTTATGCCAGTTTTTCACATTAGAACTAGGTTCTTATACTGAAAATAATGGCTTGGGTTAATTTGTAAAGATATAAGTTTCAATAAATAATAATGTCTACGCCTATTCCACCTTTAAGAATACTTAACTATAAAAACGTAGTTTCTGGGCAAGTAATGAAGACTCTAGTAAAAATCTTAGTTACCCGAATAAAACTCATTCCAGAGAATCAATCGCAGTTTGATCACAAGACCGTATTGAATTACTAAATGCAGTTTAATAATTAAGTATGGTGTGCATAAATGTTTTATCAAGAAAAGTGGTAAGCTGACCAGATTTTTGTGTTTTAAAAGACTCAGAATAATTTATTTAAAACTACTTTTAATTCAATATTCATCAAGTTTCTTTTTGATTAATAATTGCAATTATAATTATTAAGTTTTTTTTACTTTATTCACTTACCAAGGTCGAGGTCTAGAAGGCTGTTCAATTTTTATTTTGTTTAAATGTTGTTACAACCCTTTCTCAAACTTTTAACTCCAAAACATGAAACTTGACAAACAAGGTTGTTGCGCAGTGAAACAAAATGAGCGTGATACTACCAGGGAGCGAACGTTTCGCTTACAAAGCGAAACGTTCTACTGCTGCGTCATTACCTTAAATTACGCTAGCTAAACTGTAAAACTCAGCCTTTATCAAGAGCTTTAAAACGTAGTTTTAAAAAATACTGTTTTAAATAACTGCATCTAATATGCTAGTTTTCGTTTTGTCATTTGTATTTGTTTCTTGATTTTTTCATTTACTATTTCATTAAATAATTTTTTTTTTGATGGGGGGGGGGGGTGCAAACAACCCTAAACATGCAACAGTACATATTGACTTTAATAAACAAGTTTAATAGCAAAATATTGGCCACCTTTTTTATATAAAATTATCAATGATTTAAAATAATTTAACTTTTTATTATTAAGCAAGAGACTTCCGTAACTACAAAATGATTACGATTACGTATACTTGAGCAGGAAATTATTTATCCTGAAATATTGCCCGTCAATTTTAATATATAAAGTGCTTTTTATTATTTTTCAAATCACATCTACTGAAGAACTAAAAGGTAGTAACACAAGCATACTGCTTTTAACATTTTTTTTGATTTATGCAAATTATACTAAAATAATTGAAAATTTTACTTATGTTTAATTTTAGCTTCATGATGTATTCAGCTCAACTACTGCTTTACTTGTTATCCTATATATCTATTGCAAAAGGATATGTACGCATTGATAAGAAATTTTTTGACGACGATAATAGTTACTGGTCACAATCAGGCAATGACTTAAATAAATGGAGCGAAGGTAAGAAATTTTTATACACTTTAATTTTGTTCTGAAAGCTGTACTATCACTACCAGTTTTGTCGGTACTTTACCACTGTTTTTTTGGATGTTACACAAAAGAAGCGTAGATTTTTTTTACTGAGCTTTTATCCTTATAAAAGTTACCTGAAAAAGTTGTGCATTTTTAAATAACTTGACTTTTTCAAATTAGTTTGTAGCTAGTTAAAGACAGAAGCAAAAAAACATTAATCGATTTTTCGAATAACATTTTTAGTTTTGCTTTTTTTGTATTCCACAAACAGAAAAAAATTAAAGAAAATCCAAAAGTTAAAATAAAATTCTCTTGTTTTAAACAAAAATAACAAAACAAAAATGTCTTTTTTATTTTACCAAACACTAAAAAAATACTATAAAAAATACAAAATTTAAGTTTTTAACTTCCAAACGCATAAATACAACAAAGAGTGAGGTATAACCCATCGAGCATTTGTTTTTAAAAGTTACGTTTTAAATGTATTTTAAATGTCTTTTAGGCGTCTTCTAAACATTCTTACTTAAAGAACGTTTGAAATACGTTTAAAAAATGTTTAAAAGACATTTAGAACGTAACTTTTAAAAACAAATGCCCCTAGAGAAGACATTTAGTAAGTAGCAATAGTATAATTTCATTTGCTTAGCAACGCTTTAGCAACTGAAATAGTGTCTTGGCTTTATATATAAAAATATCTACGCATTAATTAGCAAAGAGTCCTTAGAAAATATCTGGCTCAGAACTAAAAGGTCCAAGGTTCGATGCTTGATCTGCCAGATAAGCGAAATTGAGGCGTGAACTTCCTCATTATATTCTCTTCAGTGACACTCTGTATTAAGACCGTAGGGAGCACCTTGGCACACACACACACACATATACATATATATATATATATATATATATATATATATATATATATATATATATATATATATATATATATATATATATATATATATATATATATATATATATATATATATATATATATATATATATATGTATATGTATATATATATATATATATATATATATATATATATATATATATATATATATATATATATATATATATATATATATATATATATATATATATATATATATAAACATTCTTAAATTGAGCATGGTTATAAAATAAAAGCGAACTTTTACAAAGTGTTCAAGTCAATAAACTTTTTTAAAAAAATGTTTTTTTCACTCAAAGTTATAAGATTTACCTCTTAAAAAGTAAAAGTAAACAAGAAAGTTATATGCTGGTAGTAATAGCTCTCTTTATCTAACTCCTTGAGCAACATTCTACCGTCTAAATATCTTACCAACAGTTAAAATAATTCCAGTCCTGAGCAAAGTCTTCACTTAAAAAAATCATTCTATAACTGGAGATTTCAACGGTCTGGAAATTAAAGGTAAAGTTAAGATTCATAATATATAATACAGGGCCGACGACACGGGTTTTCAAGTGTGAAAACAGTCCTCTAGATTAAGATTTTTCTTAAAAAAATAAGGTTCTTTAGAAAATAAGTGTGAAGGGGTAGGGAAAGGAGGCTACTGGCCCCCCGGTGTCGTTAGCACAGTACTATTATAATGTATTAACTTATACCACCATATAAAACTTATACCATTACATAAAATATGTATAACGATATGCATATTACATTTTAAATAAACTTTAAAAGATTGCTTGCAGTCCACAGAAAGATTTTTGGTGTTTTCCATTTAAACAGTATAGTCCTTTATCTTGAAGACCAGATATTTTACAGTTTGTTCTGACTGAGGGTCAGATAACTACTAAGAGTTATTTCACAAGATTGGTGTTGGTACGAAATCATTCGTCGTATCTGCATGGGATGCCTACTAACATCTTCTACGTATAATTTTGTAAATTTAAGGGATTTTTAAAAAATAACAAAAGTACCCACTGATTATATTTTACAATAACAAAATATCTTTTTCTTAAAGATATTTTCTATCATTTTTTCCATAAATGTCGCACAAATTATTCTCACTAAAAAAATAGTTTATTTGAAATAAAAAACGAGTTGAATTCAAATATATAAATATATATATATTTAAATTTGATTCCATAAAAATTAATACCCTATTTAAAAATAATATGTTTTTTTGTTGTATTCTATGTTATAAAAACTGAGTTTAAAAACCTTTTTTTCTCAATAATGATTTCAAAAGTTGTTTCCTTAACATAAAATTTTAAGTTTACATTTTAATCATTGATACCTTTGTTACTAAAGTGGTAATATTAACGTTTAAATTTAATCAGTGATTAAAAGGTTAACTTAAAATTTCATGTAAACAAAAGAATTTACAAAATCGATTCAGAGGAAAGAAAAGCTTAAGGTGTTATTATAATACCACCTTAACTGAGCTTCAACATTTAAAAAATTAATTTATAAGAAAAATTAAAAATAATATAAAACATTTTTAATAGTACTAAAAATAGTTATAAGTTAGTATATTATAATTGTGTTTCTTAGAAAATGAAAAAAGGACATATGAAGTTGTTAATCAGCCTATGTGTGGTAATCTACCATTTGATGACAGTATTTATTTTTGCAATAAGGGAAACAAATACAATAAACAACTTTATCAGTTATGTGGAAGTGACATAATAATAAAGAGCTCCTACCTTTGCAGTGAAGGTAAATCATACCCAAAATCTGAATACAGCCTTTGTGGAAATAAAATTTTTGAAATTAAAAAATGCTTTTGTTATGAATCTAAAATATATGAAAAAATAACTAATGAATTATGTGGTGATGAACTTATCTTTAAATTAACAAAATTTTGCTTCAAAGGAAAGTCATTTCTTCAATCAAAATTCATTATTTGCGGTGACAACGTATGCGATAAAAGCATTAACTTCTGCTTTAAAAACAAAGTTTACAGCACAATTGATAATGAAATATGTGGTGACATTGTTCATTCAAAAGCTGATTGCTTTTGTAACAACAATAAATCATACAAAAAGAGTCAGTATAAGGTATGTGGATCAAATGTATATGAAGTGAGTTCAAAATTCTGCAAAAACAATTTAGTGTATTTAATCAACTTGTACGAAGAGTGTGGTGATGGAGTTTGTGAAAAGTCAAAAGAGTTTTGTTTTCAAAATCAAGTATTTAACATTTTAACACATGCAGTCTGTAAAGATAAGGTTTACAAACTCATTGATTCATTCTGCTTTGAAAACACAGTATATAACAAACATGATAATGAAATATGTGGAGACCATGTTCATCTGACAGCTGACTGGTTTTGTAACAATAATAAATCATACAAAAAAAGCAACTACAAAGTATGTGGATCAAATGTTTATGAAGTAGCTACAAAGTTCTGCAAAAACAATTTAGTTTATTTAATCAGCTTATACGAAGAGTGTGGTAATGGAGTTTGTGAAAAGTCAAAAGAGTTTTGTTTTGAAAATCAAGTATTAAACATTTTAACACATGCAGTCTGTAAAAATAAGGTTTACAAACTCATCGATTCATTCTGCTTTGAAGACACAGTATATAACAAAGTTGATAATGAAATATGCGGAGACCATGTTCATTTGATAGCAAACTGGTTTTGTAATAATGATAAATCATACGAAAAGAGCAAATACAAAGTATGTGGATCTAATGTTTATGAAAAAGCTACGCAATTCTGCAAAAATAACTTAGTGTATTTAATCAACTTGTACGAAGAGTGTGGTGATGGAGTAAGGCAAAAAGCAACACAGTTTTGTTTTGAAAATCAAGTATTTAACATCTTGTCACATGCAGTCTGTAAGAATAAGGTTTACAAACTCATCGATTCATTCTGCTTTAATGACATGGTATTTACCAAAATTGATAATGAAATATGTGGAGACCATGTTCATTTGACAGCTGACTGGTTTTGTAACAATGATAAATCATACAAAAAGAGCAACTACAAAGTATGTGGATCTAATGTTTATGAAATAGCTACACAATTCTGCAAAAATAATTTAGTGTACTTAATCAACTTGTACGAAGAGTGTGGTGATGGAGTAAGTGAAAAAGCAACACAGTTTTGTTTCGAAAATCAAGTATTTAACATCTTATCACATGCAGTCTGTAAAAATAAGGTTTACAAAATCATTGATTCCTTCTGCTTTAATGACATGGTATTTACCAAAATTGATAATGAAATATGTGGAGACCATGTTCATTTGACAGCTGACTGGTTTTGTAACAATGATAAATCATATAAAAAGAGCAACTACAAAGTATGTGGATCAAATGTTTATGAAATAGCTACGCAGTTCTGCAAAAATAATTTAGTGTATTTAATCAACTTGTACGAAGAGTGTGGTGATGGAGTAAGTGAAAAAGCAACACAGTTTTGTTTTGAAAATCAAGTATTTAACATCTTATCACATGCAGTCTGTAAGAATAAGGTTTACAAAATCATTGATTCCTTCTGCTTTAATGACATGGTATTTACCAAAATTGATAATGAAATATGTGGAGACCATGTTCATTTGACAGCTGACTGGTTTTGTAACAATGATAAATCATACAAAAAGAGCAACTACAAAGTATGTGGATCTAATGTTTATGAAATAGCTACACAATTCTGCAAAAATAATTTAGTGTACTTAATCAACTTGTACGAAGAGTGTGGTGATGGAGTAAGTGAAAAAGCAACACAGTTTTGTTTCGAAAATCAAGTATTTAACATCTTATCGCATGCAGTTTGTAAAAATAAGGTTTACAAAATCATTGATTCCTTCTGCTTTAATGACATGGTATTTACCAAAATTGATAATGAAATATGTGGAGACCATGTTCATTTGACAGCTGACTGGTTTTGTAACAATGATAAATCATATAAAAAGAGCAACTACAAAGTTTGTGGATCAAATGTATATGAAATAGCTACACAGTTCTGCAAAAATAGTTTAGTGTATTTAATCAACTTGTACGAAGAGTGTGGTGATGGAGTAAGTGAAAAAGCAACACAGTTTTGTTTTGAGAATCAAGTATTCAACATCTTATCACATGCAGTCTGTAAGAATAAGGTTTACAAGCTCATTGATTCATTCTGCTTTAATGACATGGTATTTACCAAAATTGATAATGAAATATGTGGAGACCATGTTCATATGACAGCTGACTGGTTTTGTAACAATGATAAATCATATAAAAAGAGCAACTACAAAGTATGTGGATCTAATGTTTATGAAATAGCTACACAATTCTGCAAAAATAATTTAGTATATTTAATCAACTTGTACGAAGAGTGTGGTGATGGAGTAAGTGAAAAAGCAACACAGTTTTGTTTTGAAAATCAAGTATTTAACATCTTGTCACATGCAGTCTGTAAAAATAAGGTTTACAAACACATTGATTCATTTTGCTTTGGAGACGTGATATTTAACAAAATTGATAATGAAATATGTGGAGACCATGTTCATTTGATAGCTGACTGGTTTTGTAACAATGATAAATCATACGAAAAGAGCAAATACAAAGTATGCGGATCAAATGTTTATGAAGTAGCTACCAAGTTCTGCAAAAACAATTTAGTGTATTTATTCGCCTTGTTTGAAGAATGTGGTGCTGGAGTGAGCGATAAATCAACAGAGTTTTGTTTCGAAAATCAAGTATTTAACTCATTGACACATGGAGTCTGTAAAGATCAAGTGTACAACCGAATAGAATTTTTCTGCTTTAAAGATACAATATTTACCAGAATTGATAATGAAATATGTGGAGGCATTGTTGAAAAAAAGGCTGACTGGTTTTGTTATGAAAATGTACCATACGAAAAAAGTAAGTTTAAGTTTTGTGGATCAAATGTATATGAAATAGCTACAAAGTTCTGCAAAAACAATTTAGTATATTTAATCAACTTGTACGAAGAGTGTGGCGATGGAGTAAGTGAAAAAGCAACACAGTTTTGTTTTGAAAATCAAGTATTTAACATCTTGTCACATGCAGTCTGTAAAAATAAGGTTTACAAACTCATTGATTCATTCTGCTTTAATGACATGATATTCAACAAAATTGATAATGAAATATGTGGAGACCATGTTCATTTGACAGCTGACTGGTTTTGTAACAATGATAAATCATACAAAAAGAGCAACTACAAAGTATGTGGATCTAACGTTTATGAAATCGCTACGCAATTCTGCAAAAATAATTTAGTGTACTTAATCAACTTGTACGAAGAGTGTGGTGATGGAGTAAGTGAAAAAGCAACACAGTTTTGTTTTGAAAATCAAGTATTTAACATCTTATCACATGCAGTCTGTAAAAATAAGGTTTACAAACTCATTGATTCATTCTGCTTTAATGACATGATATTCAACAAAATTGATAATGAAATATGTGGAGACCATGTTCATTTGACAGCTGACTGGTTTTGTAACAATGATAAATCATACAAAAAGAGCAACTACAAAGTATGTGGATCTAATGTTTATGAAATAGCTACGCAATTCTGCAAAAATAATTTAGTGTACTTAATCAACTTGTACGAAGAGTGTGGTGATGGAGTAAGTGAAAAAGCAACACAGTTTTGTTTTGAAAATCAAGTATTTAACATCTTATCACATGCAGTCTGTAAAAATAAGGTTTACAAACTCATTGATTCATTCTGCTTTAATGACATGATATTTACCAAAATTGATAATGAAATATGTGGAGACCATGTTCATTTGACAGCTGACTGGTTTTGTAACAATGATAAATCATACAAAAAGAGCAACTACAAAGTATGCGGATCTAATGTTTATGAAATAGCTACGCAGTTCTGCAAAAATAATTTAGTGTATTTAATCAACTTGTACGAAGAGTGTGGTGATGGAGTAAGTGAAAAAGCAACACAGTTTTGTTTTGAAAATCAAGTATTTAACATCTTGTCACATGCAGTCTGTAAAAATAAGGTTTACAAACTCATTGATTCATTCTGTTTTCAAGAGATTATATTTACCAAAATTGATAATGAAATATGTGGAGACCATGTTCATTTGACAGCTGATTGGTTTTGCAACAATGATAAATCATACAAAAAGAGCAACTACAAAGTATGTGGATCTAATGTTTATGAAATAGCTACACAATTCTGCAAAAATAATTTAGTATATTTAATCAACTTGTACGAAGAGTGTGGTGATGGAGTAAGTGAAAAAGCAACACAGTTTTGTTTTGAAAATCAAGTATTTAACATCTTGTCACATGCAGTCTGTAAGAATAAGGTTTACAAACTTATCGATTCCTTCTGCTTTAATGACATGATATTCAACAAAAATGATAATGAAATATGTGGAGACCATGTTCATTTGACAGCTGACTGGTTTTGTAACAATGATAAATCATACAAAAAGAGCAACTACAAAGTATGCGGATCTAATGTTTATGAAATAGCTACGCAGTTCTGCAAAAATAATTTAGTGTACTTAATCAACTTGTACGAAGAGTGTGGTGATGGAGTAAGTGAAAAAGCAACACAGTTTTGTTTTGAAAATCAAGTATTTAACATCTTGTCACATGCAATCTGTAAAAATAAGGTTTACAAACTCATTGATTCATTCTGTTTTCAAGAGATTATATTTACCAAAATTGATAATGAAATATGTGGAGACCATGTTCATTTGACAGCTGATTGGTTTTGCAACAATGATAAATCATACAAAAAGAGCAACTACAAAGTATGTGGATCTAATGTTTATGAAATAGCTACACAATTCTGCAAAAATAATTTAGTGTATTTAATCAACTTGTACGAAGAGTGTGGTGATGGAGTAAGTGAAAAAGCAACACAGTTTTGTTTTGAAAATCAAGTATTTAACATCTTGTCACATGCAGTCTGTAAGAATAAGGTTTACAAACTTATCGATTCCTTCTGCTTTGGAGACATGATATTCAACAAAATTGATAATGAAATATGTGGAGACCATGTTCATTTGACAGCTGACTGGTTTTGTAACAATGATAAATCATACAAAAAGAGCAACTACAAAGTATGCGGATCTAATGTTTATGAAATAGCTACGCAGTTCTGCAAAAATAATTTAGTGTATTTAATCAACTTGTACGAAGAGTGTGGTGATGGAGTAAGTGAAAAAGCAACACAGTTTTGTTTTGAGAATCAAGTATTCAACATCTTATCACATGCAGTCTGTAAGAATAAGGTTTACAAGCTCATTGATTCATTCTGCTTTAATGACATGGTATTTACCAAAATTGATAATGAAATATGTGGAGACCATGTTCATATGACAGCTGACTGGTTTTGTAACAATGATAAATCATATAAAAAGAGCAACTACAAAGTATGTGGATCTAATGTTTATGAAATAGCTACACAATTCTGCAAAAATAATTTAGTATATTTAATCAACTTGTACGAAGAGTGTGGTGATGGAGTAAGTGAAAAAGCAACACAGTTTTGTTTTGAAAATCAAGTATTTAACATCTTGTCACATGCAGTCTGTAAAAATAAGGTTTACAAACACATTGATTCATTCTGCTTTGGAGACGTGATATTCAACAAAATTGATAATGAAATATGTGGAGACCATGTTCATTTGATAGCTGACTGGTTTTGTAACAATGATAAATCATACGAAAAGAGCAAATACAAAGTATGCGGATCAAATGTTTATGAAGTAGCTACCAAGTTTTGCAAAAACAATTTAGTGTATTTATTCGCCTTGTTTGAAGAATGTGGTGCTGGAGTGAGCGATAAATCAACAGAGTTTTGTTTCGAAAATCAAGTATTTAACTCATTGACACATGGAGTCTGTAAAGATCAAGTGTACAACCGAATAGAATTTTTCTGCTTTAAAGATACAATATTTACCAGAATTGATAATGAAATATGCGGAGGCATTGTTGAAAAAAAAGCTGACTGGTTTTGTTATGAAAATGTACCATACGAAAAAAGTAAGTTTAAGTTTTGTGGATCAAATGTATATGAAATAGCTACAAAGTTCTGCAAAAACAATTTAGTATATTTAATCAACTTGTACGAAGAGTGTGGCGATGGAGTAAGTGAAAAAGCAACACAGTTTTGTTTTGAAAATCAAGTATTTAACATCTTGTCACATGCAGTCTGTAAAAATAAGGTTTACAAACTCATTGATTCATTCTGCTTTAATGACATGATATTCAACAAAATTGATAATGAAATATGTGGAGACCATGTTCATTTGACAGCTGACTGGTTTTGTAACAATGATAAATCATACAAAAAGAGCAACTACAAAGTATGTGGATCTAACGTTTATGAAATCGCTACGCAATTCTGCAAAAATAATTTAGTGTACTTAATCAACTTGTACGAAGAGTGTGGTGATGGAGTAAGTGAAAAAGCAACACAGTTTTGTTTTGAAAATCAAGTATTTAACATCTTATCACATGCAGTCTGTAAAAATAAGGTTTACAAACTTATCGATTCCTTCTGCTTTAATGACATGGTATTTACCAAAATTGATAATGAAATATGTGGAGACCATGTTCATTTGACAGCTGACTGGTTTTGTAACAATGATAAATCATACAAAAAGAGCAACTACAAAGTATGCGGATCAAATGTTTATGAAATAGCTACGCAGTTCTGCAAAAATAATTTAGTGTATTTAATCAGCTTGTACGAAGAGTGTGGTGATGGAGTAAGTGAAAAAGCAACACAGTTTTGTTTTGAAAATCAAGTATTTAACATCTTGTCACATGCAGTTTGTAGGAATAAGGTTTACAAACTTATCGATTCTTTCTGCTTTAATGACATGGTATTTACCAAAATTGATAACGAAATATGTGGAGACCATGTTCATTTGATAGCTGACTGGTTTTGTAACAACGATAAATCATACAAAAAGAGCAACTACAAAGTATGCGGATCTATGGTTTATGAAATAGCTACGCAGTTCTGCAAAAATAATTTAGTGTATTTAATCAACTTGTACGAAGAGTGTGGTGATGGAGTAAGTGAAAAAGCAACACAGTTTTGTTTTGAAAATCAAGTATTTAACATCTTGTCACATGCAGTTTGTAGGAATAAGGTGTACAAACTTATCGATTCTTTCTGCTTTAATGACATGGTATTCACCAAAATTGATAACGAAATATGTGGAGACCATGTTCATTTGATAGCTGACTGGTTTTGTAACAACGATAAATCATACAAAAAGAGCAACTACAAAGTATGCGGATCTATGGTTTATGAAATAGCTACGCAGTTCTGCAAAAATAATTTAGTGTATTTAATCAACTTGTACGAAGAGTGTGGTGATGGAGTAAGTGAAAAAGCAACACAGTTTTGTTTTGAAAATCAAGTATTTAACATCTTGTCACATGCAGTTTGTAGGAATAAGGTGTACAAACTTATCGATTCTTTCTGCTTTAATGACATGGTATTTACCAAAATTGATAACGAAATATGTGGAGACCATGTTCATTTGATAGCTGACTGGTTTTGTAACAATGATAAATCATACAAAAAGAGCAACTACAAAGTATGCGGATCTAATGTTTATGAAATAGCTACGCAGTTCTGCAAAAATAATTTAGTGTATTTAATCAGCTTGTACGAAGAGTGTGGTGATGGAGTAAGGCAAAAAGCAACACAGTTTTGTTTCGAAAATCAAGTATTTAACATCTTATCACATGCAGTCTGTAAGAATAAGGTTTACAAACTTATTGATTCTTTCTGCTTTAATGACATGGTATTTACCAAAATTGATAACGAAATATGTGGAGACCATGTTCATTTGATAGCTGACTGGTTTTGTAACAACGATAAATCATACAAAAAGAGCAACTACAAAGTATGCGGATCTATGGTTTATGAAATAGCTACGCAGTTCTGCAAAAATAATTTAGTGTATTTAATCAACTTGTACGAAGAGTGTGGTGATGGAGTAAGTGAAAAAGCAACACAGTTTTGTTTTGAAAATCAAGTATTTAACATCTTGTCACATGCAGTTTGTAGGAATAAGGTGTACAAACTTATCGATTCTTTCTGCTTTAATGACATGGTATTTACCAAAATTGATAACGAAATATGTGGAGACCATGTTCATTTGATAGCTGACTGGTTTTGTAACAATGATAAATCATACAAAAAGAGCAACTACAAAGTATGCGGATCTAATGTTTATGAAATAGCTACACAATTCTGCAAAAACAATTTAGTATATTTAATCAACTTGTACGAAGAGTGTGGTGATGGAGTAAGTGAAAAAGCAACACAGTTTTGTTTTGAAAATCAAGTATTTAACATCTTATCACATGCAGTCTGTAAAAATAAGGTTTACAAACTTATCGATTCATTCTGCTTTAAAGACTTGGTATTTACCAAAATTGATAATGAAATATGTGGAGACCATGTTCATTTGATAGCTGATTGGTTTTGTAACAATGGTAAATCATACAAAAAGAGCAACTACAAAGTATGTGGATCTAATGTTTATGAAATAGCTACACAATTCTGCAAAAATAATTTAGTATATTTAATTAACTTGTACGAAGAGTGTGGCAATGGAGTTTGTGAAAAGTCAAAAGAGTTTTGTTTTCAAAATCAAGTATTTAATATTTTAACACATGCAGTTTGTAAAGATAAGGTTTACAAACTCATTGATTCATTCTGCTTTAAAGACATAGTATATATTAAAGTTGAGAATGAAATATGTGGAGATCATGTTCATTTGACAGCTAGCTGGTTTTGCAACAATGATAAATCATATGAAAAGAGTAAATTCAAACTCTGTGGATCAAATGTTTATGAAGTAGCTACAATGTTCTGCAAAAACAATTTAGTTTATTTAATTAGCTTATTCGAAGAGTGTGGTAATGGAGTTTGTGAAAAATCAAAAGAGTTTTGTTTTCAAAATCAAGTATTTAAAATATTGGAGTTTGGTCTTTGTAAGGGTAGCCTATACAAACGTATGGATTCATTATGTTTTAATAACGTTATCTACTCTGCAAATGATAATGAAGTATGTGGAGATATTGTGCATTCAAAAACGTTATGCTTCTGTTTTAATAATAAGTCGTACAAGAGAAATCAGTTTGGTATTTGCGGTAATGACGTTTTTAATTTAAGTAACTCAATATGTAATGGGGGAATAATTTTTAGTTTAAGCGTTTATGAAGTTTGTGGTCAAGTCATTCATTTAAAAGCTGATCGATTTTGTTTCAATGAAGTTTCTTTTAAAAAAAGTGATTTTAGTATTTGCGCAGGCAACCTTTTTTCACTTAGTTCTTCATTTTGTTATGACAACAAAGTTTATGAAAAATTTTCCCACGAATTATGCGGAAATGCAATCATGTCAAGAATTACAAATTTTTGTAATGGCGGAATATCATATTCTCGTACTCAATATAAAATTTGTGGCCAGAAAGTTTACGACATCAACCTCTTTGTTTGCAGTGGAACAACTTTGTTTGACCTCAAGCTCTATGAAGTTTGTGGAAATGTTATCTATTTGAAATCACAACGCTTTTGTCATCAAGGAACATCATATAACAAGCTTCAATTTGGTCTTTGTGGTTCTGCTTTATATAATAAATTAGCGTTTACATGTAATGCAAATAATCAATTGCAGGCTATCGTTTTGCCATATTAATTATTTTATATTATAGTTGATATAAATGGATAAAAGTATTATGATTGTTCATGGTATTGTACTTGAGATGGGATTTCGGTAATGACTTTATTTTAAGTAGATTGCAATTGCATTTCGTTTTCGGTAAAGCTTGTTTATTGAGTCATTATAAAATTGATACAAAACTGTAAAAGTATTTTAATAATAAAATTCTTTCACCTGACCTTTTGTTTTTTATTTAAACAGTTTTTTTTTTTTGTAAAGCCTTACTATGTTATCCTGGGATTATTATTATTTTATTAAATTTTTTATTTTTGATTTTTGTAATTATTATTATGATTTATAATTTCATAAATTAGTGGCACAAAATTTTAATTTTTGTTATTTTTCTTTAAATTAGTAAAAAAGTTATATTATATGCCAAAAAATAAATAAAATTATATAATTCCATTAACATAAGGATTTTAGGATTAGGGACGATCTATAAAATACGTATGCAGGTATCGGGGAGGGGGTTACCCAAAAGCGTACGAATGTGTACAAGGGTGGGTGGGGGTGTTAAAGACAGTGAATACGTACGCGGTTTGGCTATCTGTCCTAACTTGATTTTACTTTTTATTTATATTAAAACATTAAATTTCACGTGTGTAACAAATCAGTATTGTATTTTGCAAAAAATCAGTGTGTAACAATTCAGTATTTAGTCTTAATTTTTTATTTTATTTCTTTTATAAATAATGAGAGAAAAAAGAAATCGAGCGAAAAATAATATCGTAATAATTCAAATAAACTGAATGTTTTTTTTTTTTGTTTTCAATGTTTTGAAATATTTACGCATTGGGAAATAAAGGAGGGCTTTATTTTCAAAAAAAAATAATGCATAGGTAAGCAGAGGGGGGAAGGTGGGGTTAATAGCGTACAGGTTCGTTCAAGCGGGGAGAGGGTGTCCTAAATCAGTGGTTTCACTGCGTACATACTTTTTGGATGCCCCTTTACATTAACATTAAAAGGTGAAATATTACACTAAGTATATTTGTGTTACTTATGAGTATTGTAGTTTATATATATAAAAACTTAGGCTTTTAAGCACCATATCATGTTTTTCGCATGATTCAGCAAAGCTATGATTATAATAGCAATACAAAATAGGATAAACTACTACGTATATAAATGCTTTTATGCATGAAAACATTGTTTTTGTTTTTTAATGAAATGTGTCAATTCTACTTAACACAACCTTTAGCTTCACTTTTTTAATTAAAACTTGCAAAAATACATTTTGGTCACATTCCTGACAAGTTATTGCTTTTATAAAAATTGTTTATCAGTTTTAATTAAAATTTTTATCTAATAAAATATAGATGTACATAATGGTACTTTATCATGTCAAAATATATGTAATATATAACATAAACAACTTTGTTACAAGCTCAATCAGTGATTAGATGGTTTCATCTGGTAAAATTCCCAGTGCAACAAAAACATTTAGTAATTAATATAAAGATACACTGTTTAAAAATTCGCCATACTTTCTCCGTGAAAATTAACGGTTTCCGTAGTTTCTATTTTCCAACGGAAAAAGTCCGTAAAAAAAGAGTAAAAATTCACGGTTTCCGTATTTAATTTTTTCCATTCAAATTAACGAAAAAACTCTGTTAATTAACTCATTTTACAGAGTTTACGCGAAAATCAACAATAAATGAATAAAATTTATGTTGTTATAAAAATGTAATTCCACTATTAAAAAACTGCTTGTATTTTAAATGATTAAAAATTATAACATAATATCATATTATACTGCTAGCAACTATTATTACATCAAGTAATAATAGTTGCTAGCAGTAAGCAAACCGTAATATGGGTAATTAGTAATTAAATTATTAATAACAATAAAAACACATTAATTACTTGATATATTATTTAAAAAATAAAATTAAATAAAATTTATCTCTAAATAATATTATAAGTTTGACTTCTTAACAGTAATGTTATTGCTTATCGTTAACGACATAAAAAGAATGCATTAACATCAGTTAAGTGCTTCTTAATGGCAGGTGCCAGAAACAGAAAGTCAAGTAAAGCCTGCCAATATCTAAAAATATTAAATTAGTGAAGCCTTTATAGTGCTGATCAAACAAAAAAAATATCCACCACTATTATTAAAAAAAAAGATGATTACATTTAAATCAATATAATATAATCTGCTCTTCATCATTTTTTAAAATTGATTTTTGAGCGATTTATAAATGCATTTAAGAAACGGTTTGAAGCATTAACTAAAGAAATTATTCACAATTTAAAGATAATTTTAAAGTTTTTCCCAATTGCTATAGATGTTTTTAAATATTTAAAATTGTTTATGTACCCTAATGCGGGTCACTCATCATTTAGATACAAATTTTATGAATTTACCCCCTTGCGGGTCACGCGTCACAAAAGGGTTAATAAGTTATTTTATTAACTAAAATACTTGAAACTAAAAAGATTTAATTTATTACAATATTTGAACAAGCTACAATTATAGTTAAACAATCTAAAGAATTATATCTTAAAATCGTAAAAGTCGTAAAATATATCTTATAAATTGTCATTATCAATTGTATTAAAAAATATGCAAGAGCTCAGTAATTTCATGAGTTTTATCAATTCTCCCTGTACTAACTCTCATTTAAGTCTCATCTAAGAGAGAGAGAGAGAGAGAGAGAGAGAGAGAGAGAGAGAGAGAGAGGTAGTGTTTCAAAAGCAGCATGTTAAAAAAAATTAAAAAAGACATGCAATAAATAACAGTAATTAGTTATATTACGCTACCATTATACAAAATTATTTTTACCTCAACTAAAAGTTGATTTCCAGCATTTCTTAATTAAGTTCCAGCTTATCTCTAACTGTTGACTAATGATTAATATAGTAAATTTCACATCATATTAAATTTACAAAATTAAAACCATGTTTCAACAATAAGCAAAATAATCAAGTGATGACAAAGCCAACTAAAAAAAAAAAAAAAAAAAAGAAAAAAGTTTGTTTGAGATTACAAAAAAAAATAAATTAAAACCATTTAAATTTGAAACTGTTGTTAATTGTTACTATAAATAATAGAATTTATACTTTGCTTTGTTCTAAAGTGTCTAATTTCAAATCAAATTATTAGACATAAACACCGCTTGACAAGTAAGTTTTCTGTTTATTGAGTAGAATTTCTTACATTTCAACGATAATTAAATTCACCATGCCTAGATCTATCTCTTTCATTTGACAACAATTTTTTTCAAGTAGCCTTTTATTATCTACACAAATAAATTCTTCGATCCTAATATTATACATCTGTTATCATTAAAGATATTACCAGTGATTATACTACTGTTACAACTGAATAAATGATTGTAAAATAATTTTACGAATTGTGATCTTTTCTAATCAAAGACTATATTTTAAATTAAGATTTATTGATATCCCTGTATTTTTATAAATTTATATATATAATACATTTATTAAAAATATAAATCAAACTTTATTTACATTATTTTGGTGCATTTATGTATATAAACTTACCTGCCAACAAATTACAGTAAGTTTTCTGTGTTAAATACATAAAATATATATCTAACATAAAACAAATCTAATATAGAATAAAACAAAATATTAAACTTATTCAAATCAGTAACATTTCCACTGTCTGAAAATTTTTATTATTATTAATCCTTCTATTTAAAAAAACAAACAATTAATTTGAAGTGACTAAAAAGCGCTTCAGCTCTTTCCAATTGCACTAAATAATAAAACAAATCATGCTTCACTAAGTTGCCTAGTTCTTAAGAATCTGAAAACAAATAAGTAAAAAACCAAGGACAAACAACATTTATTCAACATAACTACTCTAATTAAACAAATTAAATTAAACAGAGATCAACATTCAGCTTTCAATTCTCCTTGAAAGCTGAAAAATGCAACATTAAACTTTAAATGTTGACTGGACTATTTATTGTGAAAATTCTGAAAATTAATTTATATTCTGAAAATTATACTGAAAATTAATATATATTCTGAAAATTAATTTCATGGATATTTACAAATAGTAATTCTACTAATCTTAAGTAAACACCAAAAATACAGATCTTTATATATATAATTAGTAATAATTATAAGATAATAATAAAAATAATATTTATAGTAATAAACATATGAACCACAATAATAATAATAGTAAAAAAAAACAATAACAATTATAATAGTAATGGTAATAACGATAATAATCGAAATTATAAGTCACATGTTATTCATAAACACAATAGCTAAATATATATATATATATATGAGTTAGTTACAAACAGTTGACTGAAAAAACGTAACAACTAACAAGGACATAAAACAGTTATTTAAATTGAAAATAATAAAATAGGAATAATAATAGTAAAGTTAAAAGTAATAATAACTGTAGTTACGATAAATATTTAAAATTACTAGTAATAATACTATAACAAAAAACATAACAAAAATATGATAAAAATTAAAAAAAAAATGAAGAAAAACAAAAAAGCATTAAAAAAATGAGAAAGTTCAATATTGTTACATACATACACAAACATAAATATAAAGATATAAACACATACTTACCCACATGCATAGATACACACATATTTACACATAAATACACACGCGCGCGTACATACACTCACATACATATGTATATGTGTATACATACACATATATATGTGTATGTATACATATGTATGTGAGTGTACCAATATATATAGATACATATACATATATAGTTTTAAAATATATACATTTTATATACAACTTTAAAAATATACATTTAAAAAAAATGTCTAACCAACGTAAAACTAAAAAAAAAAAAAAAAAAAAAAAAAAAAAAAAAAAAAAAAAAAAAAAACCGACGCAAACAACGCATTAAAACATACAACAATATCAACAAAAAACAAAAAACAACAACAAAATAAACGTCCCTCAAAATAAATAAAATTAAAATTTTTTTTTTCGTATCTTCCAAAATGGAGCGATTTCTATATTTTATTTTAATTCTTTATAATTACTTTCCATTTTCGAATGCTTTTTTCTTTTAACTTTGGTTTTTTTTCTTTTATTTTTCTTTTCTCGTTTCTTTTTATGTTTTTTTTTTCTTTTGTTGATTTGTTTGATTTGGTTTTTAATTTTTTTTTTGTTTCTTGCTTATTCATTTCTTTCTTTTTCTTTTCTTCATTC